TGTGTGACTGTGTATAAAAGAAATATCGTGGCGTTAACGCACACTCATGTTAGTCAGGTTGCCTATAACGGTCACCGCCACGGCGTTGCTTGCGTATACGGTAAACAATTTATGCTCATTTGGAATCTTGTAAAAAGATACTTTTAATTTGTATTTAAATAGAGATACAAATACATCAACTTAATAAGTATTTAAATAGTATTTAAAGTACTTTTTTCAATAAGTATTTAAGAACAAATACAAATACTTAGAAAGTATTTAAACACAAATACTTATTTTAATACATTTGTTTTAAGTTTTACCTTTGGGTTCAATACTTTTTCTCTGATATTTTAACTTTAAATTTGACCATGAGATCAAACTCATTCAAACTGTACATATTAATTATTATTATATAGTTAATACTTAATAGTTCATATATTATAATGCATGTTCCATATTCTGGTACTAACCAAGGTACCTATAGGCTATAATTGTATGATAAGTTAATAATCACCGAATGATCGTTTTAATTATTTATTGTATGAGAACTAAATAGATATTATAAGAACCTTTATCTCCACAAGAAACCTAGCTTCTGGAGAAAATAATGTATATATAAATGCTATATTTCTGTAGTGAAAATATTTTTATTAATGTATATATTACGTATGTATACTATTTAATTATTCACACTATTTCGACCGTTTTCTATCGTTTTTCGCCCCTTTTTTAATACTCGATTCGCGTAGCTTGCGATCTCTCGAAGCCGCCGGTAATAAATAATTATTGTATTTAGTTTAGTAATAATAAAAAAACCGGCCAAATGCGAGTCGGACTCGCGCACGAAGGGTCCCGTACCATCATCTATAAACATGTTGCAACACTGATTATATTATATATTTTAGATTTTTTAGTATTTTTTGTTATAGCAGCCACAGAAATACATCAACTGTGAAAATGTCAACTTTCTAACTTTCATGGTTTATGAGATACAGCCTGGTGACAGACGGACGGACGAACGGACGGACAGCGGAGCCTTAGTAATAAGCTTCCGTTTTACCGTACGGAACCCTAAAAAGATATAATAATCATTTTAAGTACCTACCTATACTGGCTATACTTAAGATAATAATTTAGACATAAGTAACGATGACAATTTTAAATACTCTTCCAATGATATTTGATCTAAGATTTCTTTTTCAACAGACATACAAATGAAATGCATAACAAATTAATTTGTTAATTAACAGTAAACACAAATGTACCTAATAAACATAGAAAAACAATGAGTTAATCTGAACAGTGAACAGTCAGCGGTGGCATGGAGGCATGGAATATATAAATTTATTCTGTGGTGGAGGTCCATGTGACATAACGATAACGTGTTACCTATCATAATATCTGAGCACAAGGTATTACGCCAGGCCAAGTTCCAGCAATGCCAGTGTAGTCTACACGAACCAGTGGCACAACCATGAATTTTTCATGGGGGGGGTCTGACAAAATAAATCATATATATTTATTTTATAAACATTATACCTATGTTTTAATATACCTACTATTACACGGAGTCCACCCCCCTAGTCGCGCCACTGCAGACACGAATCAATTCGCCCAGTTTTTCTATTTTCTAACCCATATATCTCTGTTTCCTCTTAAGATAAACTTTTGAAATTTAAAACACAGATTAATCTCGAGTAGCTTAGGACCCTGTAAGAAAAAGAGCCCTTAATATTTAAAAAATATAATTATGTACCAAGATAATCTATTCACTATTCCGTAATCTCAGTAGATTTTTTTTTCACGACAGTAGCACAGTGGGCCAGTCCGGCCCTGCCTAAGCTGGTGTGGCGTTTTTCAATTTTGTTTTTAATAATCATCAGAAATAGGTAGGTATACTTTTAATATGAATATATACGATGACCAATTTATTTACAGTTATTTCAGACTGAATAATAACCAATAACCTTCTTGGTGGTATTAAGTATATAGGTAGTAGGTACCATTATAATTAATCCACTGTTCCACCAGCTATATGGCTATATTAAAATTCAATATGTCAAATGTGTACCTACGCTACATACAAGATTCTTATTTATATGTATTATATTATTATGGAAAAAACTTTTTGCAATATTATACATAATATTACAGGTAATAAAAAAAACTAATAAAACGTGCAAAATTGATCAGCAGTTTCAAACCCTTTATTCTGCTTACTTACACATTGTTACCATAACAAATAATACGTTAAGAAAGCGGGTAAGTCAGGTAAGTGGATGTCGCTCTGCTATGCAGTAGGTTAAATGTGGGTCACTGTACTGGTGTTAAATTGTAATTGAATGATATAATAATATGTTGATATATGTTAACATAAATATGTATAATATAAAAAACCGATTATGATCAGAGACGGTTTGTCAGCCAAGGATATTGACATATTGTATATTATAATTAATATTTATATTATATTATTTACTAATGTATGGTAGCCGGTAAGTTAATTTATTAATATTTGTATATAATAATACTTATTATACTTTAGAAGTTTTAACCACCCACGGATATTATTTTTAAATTATAACACAAACCTAAAATCGTTCTTCATCGTTTAAAATTTAAATATCTAATTTTGTGCAAACTTGAACTTCAATTAACTATAAAAAAAACTCCATAATATATTTTTTAGATTTTTTGATTACAGTATGAACTACTTACGTGGAACCTTATTTTAAACTTTTAATCCTTTGCTTTACAAATATTTAACAACTAAACATTGAGTTTAATTCTACATAAAATTATAAGTAAGTAAGATACTAATATGTATCGTAAATATGAATATCCTACTTGGGGTCATGATTTATTGATTTATCTTTCATAGATCGCGTGGGTTTGTGCAAGCAACAGCGCCGAGAGTCGACCGACAAAGGTGACAACTTTACCACTACCAGTTCCGAGTAAATCGAATAGCAATATTAACACCTCTCGGCTTTCACACAATCCAGGATTATGGTGGGGCAGAGTGGGGGGCGCGTCCCCGGGGCCCACGTATGTGAAGGGACCATAGTCTTCTCTGCTTAAAATTACATTTGTACTTTTTATAGTGCCTACATGAATATTTTATATTTTTTTTTTTTGAACTAACAGGCGTCAAGGCTCGTCACCCGTGGCCTACCATGTTTACCACCACGGGCATGGTAAGTGGTGGCACATGACCAGGTTTGTGTGTGTAGGGGTGTTTTGTTATCGATGTATTTAAAAATGGTATTATCGGGAAAATATGTTTATGTGAGTATGTGACCATGGTGGATACTCGAAACTCATATCTATTACCTATACTGATTATAACAGTCTGCTGTCCAATTATTTCCTGTTTCGTTTTTGGTTTTAAACGGTTTATACCGGTTTCAAGTCCAAAACTATTTAAGCTTATTCATAGTTTCTTAATTTATTTGAAAAGCGGGATCGTGCTACAATTTTGTGTAAAACTAAAATAAACTTTCCGAAATATACAAGGTACCAAAAGTTTTCAAAAAAAATGAGTAGGTACTGCCCATATACTACGACATAACTAACCGTAGCTGTGACCTACTTGAGGTGGTCTTGCACAGTAGCACAGTGGTCCAGTCCACACCTGGATTTCCCAGTTTTTTCTATTGAAAGTACAACAACTAGAACAACTATCAAAGCAAAGCAAATGGTAATATAGTGTACGGTATGTCAGTACCTACCTACTCAGTCAACTATATTAGTAGGTACCTTAAGAACGCAAGTTTACAGCTCGCAAAAATAAAAAAAAATCTGATGAGAGCACATGACCTCAATGTCACTCTGGCAAAGGCACTTTAATATATTCAGTGGCGTAGCCAGGATCATGAAATGGGGAGGGTGGTTTAAGTATAAATTAATCCAAGTTGGTTACATTTTTCGTGTATAAATAATACATTTATTAAATACCCCTCCAGGTTTAAATAACCAAAGCCCCCTGGCTACTGGCTTTGAATATTTTTTGTGCTACCTTTGTGAAAGGCCCCCGCCCTATTTGAACCTATAGTGGTTTGAGACAAAAAGTGCGGCGTCGGCGTCGGCGGCGGCGAAATGATGAGCTGCGAAACGGTGGCGGCGAATTGTTCAGTGGTGAAAGGGTGGAGGCGAAATGGGGCGGCGAAACGGTTTAGGCGAAATGAACGAGTCCGGTATAGAATATACCATGTACCATACCACCATGAGACATGAGTGTGAAATTAATAATGTGGCTTGACCTCCTCGCCCCGTGCAAATGCCTATACAGTCGACAAAGACTATTCACACACAAAAACGCACACACACTTTCACACCAACCACTGCCTTACATACTAAACAATTTGCCTAAAAAGAACCCTTAAAATTCGAATGCTTCTCAACAATATCACATTGAATGCACGAGTGCGTGTGTCTTGTGAAAAGGATGTTATTAACAAAAACAATTGTACAAAAATGAGTTAGTGAATAGTAAGTATGTACCGTTTTTATTAAAAAATAAATACAATTTTTCAAATTCTAATATGGATGTGAATGTGTTATTTAAATTTTACAATAAATCATGAGTCATGACTATCCGCGCATTATAAGGGTATGGCTGCAGTGACTAATAAACGTCTTATTACACCACTTTTAACTGTGTTGTGTAGAACTTATTAATTGGCCCACCTGGATTGCTAGCCCCTATCATATTTTGGGCGAAATGCTTCATGCAGACCTTATGGAAAAGCGGATATACTTGGGATCAGCCCATATCAAATGAACTATCGTCATCATGGAAAACATTTTCGTCAGAGTTACCTAGTGTGGCCTCACTCAAAATACCCAGGTACATCCCAATCGATTAGTCCTGTCATGTTCAGTTACTCGGTTTTTCCGATGCGTCAAAGAAGGGATTTGCAGCGGTTGTCTATATCCGGTTAGAGTATCCTTCAAAATTATCAACGGTACATTTACTAACTGCAAAATCAAAGGTGGCACCCTTGAAATCAGGAAATATGGACGAGTCGTTGTCTATTCCACGATTGGAACTTTGTGGGGCCCTGTTACTTGCCCAAACGCTACATCGTGTTCAACAAACCCTTGCCAAAATGGTACATATCTCATCTATGCACGCATGGACGGATTCCACTGTTGTGCTCGCGTGGATAACTACTCACCAAGTACAATTTAAGGTATTCGTTACAAACCGGTTGAATAAGATCGCGGAACTGATACCATCATGCACATGGCGTCACGTTTCCACGCTGAACAACCCAGCAGACTGTGTTTCACGCGGAATGCATGCCAACGAAGCACTGTCACATACTCTGTACTGGACCGGCCCCGAGTTCCTGCGTCAACCGGAGAGTGGCTGGTCGTCCACTGGTTTTAACGTCATGCCACTCGACAGACTCCCAGAACGTCAGATCCCTACAGAATCAATTAATCTTGTCACCGTTCCAACCCTCAGTACTGATTGGTTACAGCGTTTTTCTTCATTCACTCGGGTCACTCGAATTGTCGCCCACATGTATCGGTTTATATGTCGTATTCGAAATCAATTTTCATATTCGGGTTTTATTCGTTGGTCAGAGCTAGAGCATGCTCTCAAGATAATCGTTAAAGTTACTCAATCACATGAATTTCGAGACTTAATCAAAACCTTGTCATGCAACAGAAATGGTACAATTCCACTGTCCGTTGCGTGACTTACGCCCTTCCTAGATACTGAAGGAATTGTCCGAGTAGGTGGACGCATACGAAATTCAATGTCCAAGGAGGATTTCAAGTTTCCAATATTACTGCCGAAGTCCTGCGTACTCACTACATTACTTGTGCGTCATTATCACACTAAACATTTGCATGCAGGACCTCAATTGGTCTCATCCTTGCTATCCGTTCGTTTCTGGATATTGTCAAGTCGGTCCATCATTCGCTCGGTCATATTCAAATGCGTGGTTTGTGCAAGACAACGAGCCACTCGGCTACACCTGTAATGGGAGACTTGCCAAATGTTCGAGTTTGTCTTTCGAGGCCATTCAACAACGTCGGTATTGATTACGCAGGCCCATTATGGATTAAGGAAGGGAGACGCCGCAACACTCGCTCAGTGAAGTGTTATCTGGCGATCTTTGTCTGTATGGCAATCAAGGCAGTACATATAGAGGTCGTTTCTGACTTATCCACACCTGCGTTCATAGCTGCACTACATCGTTTTATTTCACGTCGGGGTATTCCAGCTCATATCTATTCCGATTGTGGAACGAACTTCCAAGGCGCTGATGCAGTATTACGCACTCAATTGCGAGATCCGGTTGTACGTGAACTCTGTTCCACCCAGATTCCATGCCAATGGCATTTCAATCCTCCTGCAGCCCCTCACTTTGGGGGACTGTGGGAAGCAGCTGTGAAGTCAACAAAATATCATCTTAAACGAGTCATTGGTACTCAGCTGTTGACATTTGAGGAAATGTCCACCTTAGCTCACAGAATTGAAGCTCTGCTCAACTCACGGCCACTTGTACCACAATCATCTGACCCATGTGACCTACGAGTGCTAACTCCTGGAGACTTTTTGATCGGATGTCCGTTAGTCGCGTTACCAGAGCCAGATCTGACTTCCACGCCGATGAACCGGTTATCTCGATGGCAGTTACTGACCCAGTTTCAACAATCGTTTTGGAAACGGTGGTCATCAGAATACTTGACTACGCTTCAGGGCCGATCAAAATGGTATCGTAAGCAAGTGAACATCGCAGTCGGAGACCTCGTGATAGTGCATCATCCAAAAACATCTCCAACACATTGGAAATTAGGGAGAGTCGAGTTGACCCATCCGGGCGAGGATGGAGTGGTGAGAGTCGTTACCGTTCGAACAAGTGACGGGAGTTACAAACGGCCCGTCGTGAAGTTAGCAGTTCTGCCTGTCGAGGATGAACAGGACTCCTGAGTTGTTCTCCTACACCAACAACTATCATTTCCTTGTTCCACAAGTCCACTCCTTGATTGTACATTTATGTAGAGATATTTCTCAATTAGTTTTTAAGTTAGCACATAAGTTATCAACCCCATCAACTCAAGCATACTGGTTAACTTTGGAAGCCTACGTCTTCCAAGGGGGGAGTATGTTGCCGCCACACGCAACATGTGACAACGACGGCGTGCGGAAATTGCACCAGCCGGCACGCCGCCGGTGAGCGACCGTTACACCTAACGACAACCAGTTACACCTAACCAGATATCTTATCACAATGACACATTATCGCTGATACGCGAATTCGTTGTTGTTGTTCCGTTCGTACGACGTTCTGCTGCGTGGATTCTGCGTCTTTTTTTTGGTTGTTCGCTGAACAGTGTTCGCCATCTTCGTATCGAAGTTATGTTCCTCCGTTGATCGTCCGTCTACCGTTGTGCCGTACTATTCGCCGACGTGTAGACCGTACACGCTGGTTCTGCTGCGTTTGTACTGTCCGTGCGCCGTATCGTCCGTCTACCGTCGTGCCGTATTATTCGCCGACGTGTAGAACAATACTCAACATTCACCAGCGTTTTGCCACACCGCCCACGGTCCAGATCGTAAGGTTGTACTGCACCACTGGAATTGCGTTGCCGAAGTCACCACGTCGCGGACATGTAATGTTGACTCTTTTAACTTCATAACTTACATTTAATATACAACTAAATTGTTAGACTTTAAGTACGTAGGTTAAGTGCTCCCCCCGTCCACAAGTATGTATTACTATAGTAAATAATAATATAAGCATGTATATAGCCTACGGTTGATATTGTCAATTACCTACTCTCGTCCAAATAATTCCATTACCCACCGCGCTGCACTACCACCTCAATCCATAGCGAGGTTAGTGTACGTAACATATGGAGTTTTTCGAATCATTGGGAGGTTCGAATTATCGAGTGACTACTGTAATTACAAACATATACTAAATACATGCAATTAAATACCCACGTATATTTATTTTGAATTCAAGCAAACAAGTTGTTAATATTATTGTACCAATTTCGCTTTAAGATTATGACTCATACTTATAATTAATAACATATCTGTATGAACTTTTCATGAACATGAAAAATATGAGAAACTAACTGATGAATACAAATTTGTTATTTTCCAAAATAAATGTATTTTCCTTGCAGCTTATTCAATAGTTTTTTAAAAAAAAACCATAACAAAATATGTAAAAAGTTCCAATTTTAATTATTGCTTATTACCATTCTTTTTTTTCCCGAATAAATAAGCAAAATACTAAAGAATTCGATTACATTATTTTACAGATATTTTAAAAGCACATTAATATAGTAAACATTATAAACAATTGTTAACTTCTAATATGCATGTGTACAATACATTTTGAATAAATGCGTTATTTTCGTTTGAAGACCTTATCCAAATTAGAATAATAGTATTAAATTCTTAAATACCTTTCGATAATATACATATATCTTTAAATCATTGATTAAAAGTCCTGTTAACTGGTGTAATTAACAGAAATATTCCATATATTTTTGTCTTTTACTTTTTAGACTTTTATAGGTACCTATATGTATTTAATAGTATTCATTTATATTTTTATTACCCGCACAATATATAATTGAATGTTAACTGATTTGACATTCCACTCGTGTAATATTTTAAAATTATACAGACATGACGTTTAATAGACCATAATTCACAAGCCAAAAATACTTTTTATACTAAAACTTTTACGTCATAATAATGTTTTATAATTTTCTGAGTGAATAAATAAAAGTGTACACAAATTTAGTCATAAAAGTAGGTATTCTTAATTGTCCACCAATCTATCTAATATTTATGTTAAATTACAGCAGAAATCCATAGGCCATAGTTATTTCAATTAATTGGCGTAGGTACCGCATATATAGTAATGTAGCTAAATAGTAAATAGGCGGTCTTGTTTTAATAATACTTTTCTAATGTATTCAGAATACGTATTTAAATACTTGGTGTCATTTGTATCTATTTGAAATATATGTTTAACACTGTCTTTCAAAAGTATATATTACTTTACTATTATTAGTACCTATATTACAATTTACAAATACAATTGAAAATTAGGTATTAAAAATACTTTACAAGTACTTTTTTGTAATATATTAAGATTATTGTAATTTTATCAAAAATGTATACTTAAAATTATTAATAAATACATTAATTTATTTAATTAGTTCAATAATTTAAAATGTCACATGCATATTATAATGCCTAGTTAAGTAATACCTGTATATTTTGTAAATTTAGAAACGGGATTTGTATTTATATTTTATTTGTATTTCTTCTTCGTTTAAATATCTAATTTCGTCCAAATGTATATTTATTTTTTAGATATTTCAGGTACACAATAACCTACTTACGTGGAACGTTCTTTTAAATTTTCAATACTTAGCTATAAAAATTCAACCTTTTATAAATGTTAAACTTCATCAATTTCATTTTAGATTCTGAGCGGAGCGATGAATGTATTGGTTTTACAATGATGTGTGTTTATTTATTTTTGTGTCTGTGTACACGATAAGTAGTCGAAATAATGCTTCGATTTTCGACTTCTGTATCTTGTTCGATTGGAAAGTGAATCTAGTTGGTACTTTGGGGGGTCAAAAACTTTGGTTGTTTATATTTGCATTTTCTATACACTATAACATTTTCAAAATATTTTGATTTATTTTGAACTGTTTATGGACATTTTCATTTTCCATTTTTTTTTTTAGTTTTTTTTTCTAAAAATATCAATAAAATTTTATTTGGTGGTTGCGAAAGCTTGAAAATTTAATAGAAGGCTCCTAATGTATTGTTTCAAAGGCAGATGAAAAATATTAAAAATCCTTAGTCACAATTTTTTTTTATAAGCATTTAAAGTTCAAAAATTGACAAAATATGGAAAAATCACGAAAATTAGCAAATTATTTTGAGTTAAGAATTCGTAAAAATTTTTCTTTTTAAATCTAAGATTTGAAAATGAAACACAAGATTCCTTATAAGATTATCTACCTTTATCAATAAAAAAATCTCTACCGGACAATCAAGTTAAATTTTTATGAGCGTTTGAAATTCAAACTTTTACAACATTGGATATTCACTTGATTACTCATGTAGCGATTTCTTTATTTTGTTGCAATTCAAAAACGAACAACTGTAGATACATGAAAATTTCACTGAATGTTTAAATTAGCATTTTCTATACACCATACAATTTTGAAAATATTTTGACTCTTTTTGAGCTGTTTATGGTCATTTACAGCTTTCAATTTTTTTAGTTTTTTTTCTATAAATATCAATAAAGTTTTATCTGTTGGGCCAAAAAGTGTAAAAATTTAATACAAGGCTCCTGATATATTGTTACAATATCAGTTGAAAAATATTAAAAATACATATGCACGATTTTTTTTTATAAGCATTTAAAGTTGGAATTTTGACAAAATTTATCAAAATATCGAAAATTATCAATCATTGGAATTAAAAAATTATAAAATGTTCAGTTTTTATAACTAAGAGTTGAAAATTTAAAACAACGATTCTCTTAAATAATTCATACTGTAACCAAAAAATCTAAAAAATATATAAACACACTTATTTTTTACAGACATTTTAATTTCAAATTTAGACAAAATTTCATATTTAAACCAAGAATTACGATTTTAGTTATTTTGTTGTGATTGAATAATATTATTCGTG